GCAGCAAGCCGGGGTTCGACTCCCCGGGTCCCCATTATATCTTGTAGAATATTCATTTTTTGGTGCCGATCGGAAAGTCCTGCACATATTCAGTTTGAAAATTAGAGGAGGAACGGGACGTGGTGTACGGTGCACGGCTGCTCTCTCTGCCCCACCACCCAAATGACAGCAGCAGGAGGGGTTCGACTCCCTGCGTCCCCATCCCATCTCCCTTTTTCATTATTTTTTCTTCGCGACTCGGAAAGTCGGGCATATTTTGATACAGATCAAATGAAAGAACGGGACCTGGTGTACGGTGCACGGCTGCTCTCTCTGAGTCGATATACACGTTGCAGAGTTCGACTCCCTGGGTCCCCATCTCCCTTCTTCATTGCTTTTTTCATCGCGACTCGGGAAGTCGTGGCTTATTTCAGTTGAAATTGAAGACAAGAAAGGGACGTGGTGTACGGTGCACGGCTGCTCTCATTGTGCATCTTTCATTCAAGTGAAAGCAACAAGCCGGGGTTCGACCCCCCGGGTCCCAATTCGATCTCCTCCCCCCTTTTTTTCTTTTTCTTTTTGTGTCGACTCGGAAAGTTGTGCATATATTTTGGTTGAAATTGAAGGAAGGAACGGGACGTAGTGTACGGTGCACGGCTGCTCTCGGTCCAATTGCCATCTGGGATGAAGGATGCAAGCAGCAAGCCGGGGCTCGATTCCCCGGGTCCCCATCTCCCTTCTTCATTGCCTTTTTCATCGCGACTCGGAAAGTCGGGCATATATTTCGGTGCAAATTAGAGGGAGAGGAGGGACATAGTGTACGGTGCACGGTTGTTCTCCTTAACTTGAATCTGAGTGTACGGTGCACGGCTGCTCCCTCTGCGTTGCATCTGAATGCCGGCAGCAGGTCGGGGTTCGACTCCCCGGGTCCCGAATTTATCTTCTAGGCATACCTCTTTTTCTCGTGTTCATGCAAACTTCAAACTCGCACATCGTGCACACATTGAGGTTGAAATTTAGAGAGAGGAACGGGACTAGGTGTACGGTGCACGACTGCCCTCCTTGATTATGACGTGTTCGACACAGTGGAAGCAGCAAGCTGGGGTTCGACTCCCCGTGTCCCAATGAGTAGATCTAGCATCTAACATACTTGCTCTTTATTGCCATTCAGAATTGATCAACTTATTGAGGTTGAAAAGGAGGAGAGGAACGGGACGTGGTGTACAGTGCACGGGTGTTCTCTCTGGCAGGTATATAGAATGCAAGCAGCAGGTGGGGTTCGACTCCCCGCATCCCGATTCATTTGTGCAAGTTGCATCTTTTTTTGGTCAACCTTTCCCTGTAGGAAATACTCAATATATTCAAGTTGAAATTGCAGGGAGGAAAGCGACGTGGTGTACGGCGCACGGCTGCTCTCCTTAATTTGCATCTGAAATGGCAGCAGCAAGTCGGGGTTCGACTCCCCGTGTCCCAATTCGGTTTCGCACCGCATTTTTTTTTTTCATCGCGAGGAGGAAAGTTGGGCATGTATTTCGGTTGAAAGCAGAGGAAGGAACGGGACGTGGTGTACGGTGCACGGCTGCCCTCCTTTATTCGTGTTTCTCGACCCAGTGGAAGCAGCAAGCCAGGGTTCGACTCCCCGGGTCCTAATTCTAGCTCGCGAAAAACATTCTTTTTGGGCCGACTGGAAAGTCGGGTATATTTTTGGCTGAAAAGTAGAGAGAGGAAAGGGACGCGGTGTATGGTGCACGGCTGCTCTCCTTATTCCTTTCCTTTCACAGTGGAAGCTGCAAGCCGGGGTTTGGCTCCCCGGGTCCCAATGATTCCTCTTCACCCTCACGATTTTTTTTTGTGTCGACTCGGAAAGTCGTGCATTTATTTGTGTTAAAATTAGAGGGAGGAACGGGACGTGGTGTACGGCGCAAGGCTGCTCTCTCTGCAAAAGAAAGACGGATGAGGCAGCAGGAGGGGTTCGACTCCCCGCGTCCCCATATATAATTCCTCTCTTATTTTTCTTTCTTCCTTTTTTTCTTCCTCTCTCAGCTAGTCCGCCTTTTCATCCGTTGCCCAGCTCGGACACGTACGAAGACTCCCTTACGGCAAGTGCGCCCCAAACTCACACCGCCTCGCGGTTCGAATTCCCATGACAAGTTTTGATGCGGGCTGGCCGCCACGGTGCACGGCTGCCGCGGATGATTTCGCTGCGTCTAACCATATACTAAGCAGCAAGCCGGGGTTCGACTCCCCGCATCCCGATTCATTTGTGCAAGTTGCATCTTTTTTTGGTCAACCTTTCCCTGTAGGAAATACTCGATATATCCAGGTTGAAATCAGAGGAAGGAACGGGACGTAGTGTACGGTGCATGGCTGCTCTTTCTTCAGGTGGAGGTCAGAATTTCCAGCAGCAAGTCGGGGTTCGACTCCCCGGGTCCCGATTCATTTGTCCAAGTTGCATTTTTCTTTTGGTCAACCTTTCCCTGTAGGAAATACTCAATAGATTCAAGTCGAAATTGCAGGGAGAAAAGGGACGTGGTGTACGGTGCACAGCTGCCCTCCTTTGTTATGACTTGTTCGACACAATGGAAGCAGCAAGTCGGGGTTCGACTCCCCAGGTCCCCATCTTCCTTCTTCATCCCTTTTGTCTTCGCGACTCGGAAAGTCTGCAGGTAGGGGTTCGACTCCCCGAGTCCCGATTCATTTGTCCAAGTTGCATCGTTTTTTGGTCAACCTTTCCCTGTAGGAAATACTCGATTTATTCAAGTTTAAATTAGAGGCAGGAAAGGGACGTAGTGTATGGCGCACGGCTGCCCTCCTTGCCTCGTGCTTTTCAAAACAAAGGAAGCAGCAAGCCGGGGTTCGACTCCCTGGGTCCCAATTTGTTCTCTCTCATCCCTTTTGCCTCGCGACTCAGAAAGTCGTGCATATATTTTGGCTGAAATTAGAGGAAGGAACGGGACGTAGTGTACAGTGCACGGCTGCTCTCTCTGCATTGCATCTGAATGGCGGCAGCAGGCCGGGGTTCGACTCCCCGGGTCCCGAATTTATCCTCTAGACAAACCTTTTTTCTCGTGTTCATGCAAACTTCAAACTCGCACGTCGTGCACGCATTGAGGTTGAAAGTAGAGGGAGGAACGGGACGTGTACGGTGCACGGCTGCTCTCCTTGCCTCGTGTCTCTCCAACAATGGAAGCAGCAAGCCGGGGTTCGACTCCCCGGGTCCCAATTATGTCTCATGCTAAATTTCTGGTTTTCATCGCGACCACTCGGAAAGTTGTACATCTATTTCGGTTGAAATTAGAGGAAGGAATGGGACTTGGTGTATGGTGCACGGCTGCTCTCTCTGCATTGCATCTGAATGGCGGCAGCAGGCCGGGGTTCGACTCCCCGGGTCCCAATTAGTTCCATTTCGCCCTCACGATTTTTTTGCCGACCCGACGGGAAAGTCGTGCATATATTAGGTGAAAATCGAGGGAGGAACGGGACGTGGTGTACAGTGCACGGCTGCTATCTCTGAATCGATGTCCATGTGACAGCAGCAGGTCAGGGTTCAACTCCCTGGGTCCCAATCCCTCCTCTTCCTCTTTTTTTCAGTGCGACCACTCGGAAAGTCGTGCATATATTCTGGTTGAAAAGGAGGAGAGGAACGAGACTTGGTGTACGGTGCATGGCTGCTATCTCTGCAAAGGGACAAGGGATGTCAAACAGCAGGAGGGGTTCGACTCCCTGGGTCCCAATTCTGTTTCACATCGCATTTTTTTTCCCGAGCCGCCGGGAAAGTGGGCCATTTATTTGGGTGAAATTGAGGGAGGAAAGGGACTTGGTGTATGGCGCACGGCTGCCCTCCTTTATTCGTGTCTCTTGACCCATGGACAGTGGAAGCAGCAAGCCGGGGTTCGACTTCCCGGGTCCCAATTGACTATCTCGAAAGACTTTTTTCTTTGTCTATGTGTCAACTGGAAAGTTGAGCATATATTAGGTGAAAATGGAGGAAGGAACGGGACTTGGTATACGGTGCACGGCTGCTATCTCTGGAAAGGGACAAGGGATGTCAAGCAGCAGGAGGGGTTCGACTCCCCACGTCCCAATGATTCCTCTTCCCCTTTTTTCTTCGCGACTCGGAAAGTCGTGGACTTATTTCGGTTGAGAAGGAGGAGAGGAACGGGACCTGGTGTAAAGTGCACGGCTGCTCTCCGTTATACAGCGATACGGAATAGATATAAAGCAGCAAGTCGGCGTTCGACTCCTCGGGTCCCAATTACAACATTCCGTGCGGAACAATTTTCTTTTGGTGCCGACTGGAAAGTCGTGCACATATCGTGCTTGAAATGAAGGAAGGAAGGGACATGGTGTACGGTGCACGGCTGCTCTTTGTTATAAAACGATGCGGAACAGATGTAAAGCAGCAAGCCGGGGTTTGACTCCCTGGGTCCCCCCTTCACTTCTTCCTCAACCTTTTTCATTGCGACTCAGAAAGTCCTGCATATATCTTGATTTAAATTAGAGGGGGGAACGGGACGTGGTGTACGGTGCACGGCTGCCCTCTGTCATTGAGTGACCAGCTATTGACCAGCAGCAGGTCAGGGTTCGACTCCCCGGGTCCCCCTTCACTTCTTCCTCAACCTTTTTTCTTCGCGACTTGGAAAGTCGTACATATATTTTGGCTGAAAGGGAGGGGAGGAACGGGACTTGGTGTATGACGCACAGCTGCCCTCCTTGATTATGACTTGTTCGACACAGTGGAAGCAGCAAGCTGGGGTTCGACTCCCCGCGTCCCTATTATCCCCTTCTTCATTCTTTTTTTCTTCGCGACTTGGAAAGTCGGTCACATATTTCGGTTGAAAAGGAGGAGAGGAACGGGACGTGGTGTACGGTGCACGGTTGCCCTCCTTGATTTGCATCCAAATGGAAAGCAACAAGCCGGGGTTCGACTCCCCGGGTCCCATTGAGTCCTTCTGCGACCATTTTTTCTGGTGCCGACTGGAAAGTCGTGCATATCTTTGTGTTAAAATTAGAGGGAGGAAAGGGACGTGGTGTACGGTGCACGGCTGCAATCTGTTGTTAAGAATTGTAACATGTTAAGCAGCAAGCCGGGGTTCGACTCCCCGCGTCCCAATTCGGTTTCGCACCGCATTTTTTTTTTCATCGCGAGGAAAGTCGTGCATATATTTTGGTTGAAAGTAGAGGGAAAAAAAGGACTTGGTGCACGGCTCACGGCTTCCGCGGCTACATACTGAGTCCAGAGATTTTGAGCAGCAGGTCGGGGTTCGACTCCTCGGGTCCTAATAATACCAATCATCATTTCTTTGCTCAACTTTCCCTGTAGAAAATACTCAATATGTTCAAGTTGAAATTGCAGGAAGGAACGGGACGTGGTGTACGGTGCACGGCTGCTATCTCTGTAACAGTACCCACAAGTTATACGTTAAGCAGCAAGCCGGGGTTCGACTCCCTGGGTCCCGATTTGAGTCTCACCAAACACTTTTTCTCGTATAAATGCAAACTTAAAATTGAAATGTAAAGTCGAGCATATATTGCGGTTTAAATTGAAGAAAAGAAAGGGACGTAGTGTACGGCGCACGGCTGCTCTCTGTGTGCGGTTGAAGGGATGAAAACCAAGCAGCAAGCCGGGGTTCGACTCCCCGGGTCCCCATCCCCTTTCGTTCTCGCGAAATTCTTTTTTTGGCGCCCACTCGGAAAGTCCTGCACACATTGAGGTTGAAATCAGAGGAAGGAACGGGACGTGGTGTATGGCGCACGGCTGCTCTCTGTCATCCATTGCCAGACATTATCCAGCAGCAGGAGGGGTTCGACTCCCCGCGTCTCCGTTATGTTCAGTTGATTTCGGTTTTTTTGTTTTGTTTTTGTTTTTGGCCCAACGTCCGCGTCCGCGTCCGAGTCGTGCTGTTCTCCTTTCAATGAGCGCGCATTCCTCATCCGCCACGAAACGGTTATTTAACGAAAGGCAGGGAATCGATATGGAAATGGAGAGGCAGTGGTTAATATTATATCCTGCGAGTGTGATATATTCACGCGAGAGCTGCTTACATCTGACGACCATAAGTATGGATAATGAAACGGAAGACGGAAGACAGCCTGCGAGTGTTTCCCCATCTAACGCGATAGACAGCCTGGGAGGCGTGGTGGTGCCTGAGCCGCCTGAGACGAAAGGGGACAAGTGAGGCCAAGTGGGGACAAGTGAGGCCAAGTGGGGACAGGTGAGAAGCAGTGGGACGGGCACCCCATGCGGGGACGAACGCATCAAACGTCCAGGCCCATGGGAATTCGAACCGCGAGGCGGTGTGAGTTTGGGGTGGGGTGCCGTATGCCGTATGCTGCCAACTTGAAGTCGGGTAGGTGCTGTAGGGCTGTAGGTGCTGTAGGCTGTGAGACAGTAAGGAGAGAATCAAACTCAATATCCACTTGGGGGGAAGTGTCCAAATGGAGGTCGCGAGTGGTGCCCATTCAGTTGGAACTTGGAGGGCGCCACTGCCGTAACGCGTTACTTCCGCTGGGTGGCGATCAAAATGCATTAGGATCGTGCTTATGGGGGTTGGAGCTGTATAGAGCTGTATAGATGTATAGATGTAGCCGGAGAGCCTAGGAGGATTATTAATGCGCCTGGACGGCAACGCCATAGGGATCGTTAATGGACGCGGCGCGTCTATTGATAATGCGCGCGCCCATAGAAGGCTAGCGCGTTCATTAAGCCTAGTTATTAAATGCGAGATACGAGAGTACAGCCCAGATACGCCGCCCCATGCGCCCAGGGCAGAGATACGCTGCAATATGGCCGATACGAGACAGCACTAGGAGATACAGCAGATAGCCCATGGATACGCCGTAGCGACGTGGAGGTAAAGCGACATCGGGTTTCGGCCGACAATCTGCCAGGTTTGAATTGGGGCGGCCGTGGTAGGCATCGCGGTCGGGTGCGGGTGTCGACGTGGGTGGGTTTCAGCTAGCGGCTAGGCTCTTACTTGCACTGCTCATCGACGCGCGACAGACGTACGCGTCGACGAGGACAGACGTGAACTACAGCTCAAGACGCATCGGGTTATCGGAGCGGTGGAAATACATTCTAGGACATTGACACGACGTACAAATGATCGGACCTGAGTTACTTGGCGAAGCGTGTGATTGGCCGATAAGCCGGCCCATCCGTTCTCCCACTAACAAAAAGTGTCGCCTCTGCGGTCTATCGGCGTTCGTTCATCCCGCCATGTCACTAGAGTCCATGCACAACCCGCAGGGCCGCACGTACCTGCACCAGCTCGCCGCCCGCGCGCTCAACATCACCTACGACGCCTCGGGCGACCTCAACTGGGTCGACCCGTCCGACGGGAAGCTCTTTGTGTACAATGGCGGCGACATTGCGTGGGTCCTCGCGAGCATGGCGCTCGTGTGGATCATGATTCCCGGCGTCGGCTTCTTCTACTCGGGCTTGCTGCGCAGGAAGAACGCCCTCAGCATGATTTATCTCAGTATGATGACCGTCGCCGTCGTCTCGTTCCAGGTGCGCTCTCATTCGTCTTTTGACTGCTTGGAAATAATACCAACACGGCGCAGTGGTTCTTCTGGGGCTTCTCGCTCGCGTTCTCCGAGACGGGCAGCGCGTACATCGGCGACCTCAAGGTGCGTCTGTCCTCCCGTCTACTCACCTCAAATTTAATTGACAACGACGCAGTACTTTGCGCTCCGCGGCGTGCTCGAGAAGCCGTCCATCGGCAGCACCCGCATCCCCAGCATCGTCTTTTGCATTTACCAGCTCATGTTCGCGGCCATTACGTGCGTTGTCTGCCTTGTTCTGTTTACTTCCTCGTCTTCCCCCTCCCTCCTTCCCGTACATATCTTTTCAAGGCGTTGGGCGTAGAGACGGGATGCCACCCAGCGACGCACGCGCGGGTGCGGGGTGTTGTCTACGCCAACGTCTCCCGCTCCCCTGCCTCGCTCCGTCCCCGCCTTTCTGCACTCCCTTCCCCGCCCCCAATTAACCACCTCCTCCTGCCTACCTCTTTACGCGCCCTCCCACCTTTCCCATTCCTTCTTGCACTCCTTGCATTCCGCCCCGCTCTTTTCCCGCCTTTAGTCCACCTTGCCCCGCCCCTCCTCTCAAAACCTCTCTTGTTCTCCCAATCCGCTCCTTCCCCTGCCCGCCTTTGCCTTTCTCCCTCCCACCTCCCCTCCCCCTCCCTCTTTTCCTCTCTCTTTGCTCTATCCCCTTCTAACTGACAAAAAAACAGCCCGATCCTCGCCATCGGCGCCGTCGCCGAGCGCACCCGTCTCTGGCCCTTGATCTTCTTCGTCTTCGTGTGGAGCACGCTCGTGTACGACCCCATCGCGTGCTGGACGTGGAATAGCAATGGGTGGTACGTGTTTCGAAGTTCTCGATTCAAATCGTTTTTTGGGGTGTGTGGGATGGTGGGAGCGACGAGGCGAGACGGAGGCACGGCGCGATTGGAGGGGCCTGCGGCGTTGCGAGGGCATCGGGCACGGGGCTCGTTCCTTGGACCTCGCGGCGTTGGGCGTCGAGCCGCCGCGCTTTTCCGGAGACGCGGTCCTCGCTCTCCGCGTCCATTTCATAGCGCGCGCGCGCTTTGCCTTCTGCCCGCTCCACCCCCGCTGCCTTCCCCGTCCCCCCCTGCGTCCCCGCCATCTGTCGCGTGCCCCGTATCCCTTCCGCCCCATGTCCGATCTTCCTTCCCGGTCCACGTCCTGCGCCCTTCCTTCCCTCTCCGCTCCCTCACGCGCCCCATATCTTTCGCCCCGCTTTATTCCTTCCTCTTCTCCCCCTTCCCTACCCACACTAAAAACCCCCCAACAGGTCCTTCGTCCTCGGCGGGCTCGACTTTGCCGGCGGCTCGCCCGTGCACATCTCCTCCGGCTCGGCCGCGCTCGCGATCAGTATTTATCTGGGGAAGAGGACGGGGTGGGGGACTGCAAGGTTAATGGTTTACTTTGATTTGGGGCATTTGGGGGTTGAGAAGTGGACACGCTGGGTGCATCCTGGCGGCGGCAGAGGGGAGTGGCGCGGGTGCTGGCGCGTGTGCGCGTGCGCGTGCCTGCCGCTTCCTCGTCGAGTCGATGGCGCGCGTGCCGGAGTCGATGTGGCCGGTCTTTCTCCTGCAGCGGCGGAGCGTGCAGGCAAGGAGGAAGACCTGGGACTAGCATTTCTCTGCGGCTTTTTCTATCTGCAGGCGTTGTGGCGTACCGTGCAAGCTGTCGTGTCGGGTCCGGGTCGTGCGGGCTTGACAGGTGCGGGGACCTTTTGGCCTGGGCCTTGGACGGTGGACGCCGTATGCCCTTTCCTCCCTCATCTGTTGACGCGTCCCTTCCCCGTCCCCGTTGCGCGGCGTGTCCGTGTCTCTCTGCGGCAGCGTACGAGGGGGTGCTTTGGATGTGGGCCAGTGGACGTCGATGTGGGCGTGGAGGAGGTGGATGTGCGAGATGTGGGCGTCGATTGCCGACGAGGCTCCTCGCCTGGTCGGCTGCTGGCGCGTGGCTGATTGGCGCGGCGGTGTGGGACTGGGCGCTGGTGCTGGTGGTGATGCTGGAGGAGTTTGGGCACCGGGCGCGAATGTGGATGCGGATGGCGCGATGTGGCGTCTTTTCGCGCGGAAGTGGCGGCGCTGTCGTCTTATGCTTTGCGTCTTGCGCTCTGTGCTGTTCTCTATCTCCCTCCCTCTCCCCTTCTCCTCTCCTTGATGTATTTTCGCGTCGCTGACTCGCTTCGTTCGCAGACTCGCGTACAAGCCGCACAACACGTCGTACGTCATCCTCGGGACGGTCTTCCTCTGGTTTGGGTGGTTTGGGTGCGTGTTTTTTCTGTGTCTCTGTTTCTCTGTTTCCTCCCGATAGTCCGCGTCGCCCCCGTCGTGTCGATATTCTTCTTCCCCGCACATCCCCCGCACATCTACGTACCCGCCCTTTCACTATCTTCACTTCGATATGCACCCATCTTCTGGCCCCTGTCCTTCATCTTGCTCTTCCTCTTTCGCTGGTGTCGCTACCCGTCCTGTTCTCCGCTCCCCGCGTTCTCCTGCCGTTCTCTGTCCTCCCTGCTACACTCGCGTCCGTGCCCTGTCGCCATCGTACCTCCTTCCTTCCTTCCCGCCT